TCTGATTTTATTCTATTGCTATATGTTGGAGTGAAATTAACATTTTCCTTTACTATTAACTATTTCMTTTTATTTCCTTTTATTCTATGAACTTCATATTCTTTTAGAAACGAAACACTGTTTTAACTCAGGAAGAGTTCAGAAATCATTTTTGGTGGAATGATTTCCACCAAATACAGGATAACTGTGCTGTGGTCTCTTTATTTTGACAGAGCTGCATGTGTTTGATGACATTTAACTCACGTTATTTCTTCTGGTTGGTTGCAGGAAGAATCTCCTTTCATGTGGCAGGTTGAAACCTCAATAAATGCAGTGGTCTTTTGTACAGCGAGGCCTCGCAGTTCCAGTTTTTTGTTCTGACTTGTTGTACTAGCTAGCTTCTCATCTGCCCAGTAGCATGCTGTTTTGCTGCCGTAAGTTGCTCTCTCATTTGTCTGTTTCACATATCCATGTAATGTAGCATTGTAGTCTGCAGAGTTCGGATAATTAATTGCCATGCCAGAAAAAAAAAAGCCGATTACACACTTTATTGTTTTTCATTGGAGTGAAGTCCTGGCGGCGAAGCGCATTGATTGAGCCACAGCTTTCTTCTTTTAGTAGCTATCAGGTTTACAGGTGGGATGTCAACGTGAGCAAAATACAACTGATAAAACAGAGACTGAGACCGATAAATACAAAATACAAGTGATTTTATTTACAATGTGCTGGGTTCTGGGGACGGGACCTGAAACAGAGGATTTGCAGATGTGAATAACAGATAGGTTGTCCGGTATGATTCTTGAGTAAATAATGTCTTTGTGGATTATGCTTACAGGTTGATGGAGGAGAGAACACTTGGAGAAGGAGGTCCAATAGTTGCAGTTCCACAGGTGAGTATTTACAGGTGCAGAGTTGTTTACAAGTGCAGAGTTATTTACAATGATTCGTTGGAGGCAGCGCATGAGATCCAGGTGAGGTTGGCTYGGTTTCCAAAGGCTGGGTTTTAAAGTGCTGGCGGTCGCTTCTGTAAACAAACAGGCACAGATACAAAGATGAGTAAAACTCTCTGGAGGACAACAAGTAGCAGGCTGAGCTCATACCCAAACAGAGGCGATGCTTCAGCGACGAGATGCACTCCAGCACTTCCTTATAAAGCCCAGGAGAGGTGATGAGCCAACTCAATGCAGGTGTAAACAATTAGCACAGTGCCTGATCTGAGAGGCAGGGGGTGATAACATCACAAATGCCTCAGTACCCCCTCCTCAACAATCGCCTCCTGGTGATTCACAGATGTTTTTCGGGATGATCTCTGTAGAAAGCCGTGATGAGATCGGGATCCAAGATGAAAGACCTGGGGATCCAACTTCTTTCCTCAGGACCATAACCCTCCCAGTCAACCAGGAACTGATGTCCACGTCCACTGCGACGAACATCCAGGATGCGACGGACCGTGTGGATGGGTTGATTGTCCAATAGCCGGGTGGGCGGTGGGGTGTCGGTAGGTGGGTTCAGTGGGCTCGTGGAGACGGGTTTTAGTTGAGAAACGTGGAAGGTGGGATGAATTTTCATGTTGGAGGGTAGTCGGAGTCTGACGGCAGTGGGGTTGATGATTTTCTCCACGGGAAACGGACCAATGAATCTAGGGGAAAGCTTTCTGGGAAAATCTTTGAGGTTAATATCGCGTGTGGAGAGCCATACCTCTTGTCCAACTTGATATGATGGTGCGGCAGAACGATGACGATTGGCAAATCTCTGGTTTTGTTGTGCAGTGCGAAGAAGAGCTCTTTGAGTTTGGTTCCAGATTCGTCGGCAGCGTTGTACGTGGAGATGAATAGAGGGGACCATATTTTCAATGTTGTCCTTGGGAAAAAGTGGTGGGTTATATCCGAGAGAGGCTTCAAAAGGTGAGTAACCAGTGGCAGAAGAGGTGTGACAGTTATGTGCATATTCAACCCAAGACAAATGTTGACACCAGGAGGAGGGGTTGTTGTTAATAACGCACCTGAGAGTGGCTTCCAGTTCCTGGTTGCACCTTTCGGTTTGACCATTTGATTGCGGATGGTGTCCTGAGGAAAGACTGACCTTTGCCCCTAGTGCATTGCAGAACGCCTTCCAGACGTGTGACACGAACTGAGGTCCTCGATCCGAGACGATGTCTGTGGGGATTCCATGGAGACGAAAAACGTGAGTGACCAGAAGTTGAGCAGTCTCGAAGGCAGTGGGGAGTTTACTTAACGGGATGAAATGTGCTGCTTTGGAAAATCGATCGACAATGGTTAATATAACTGTATTACCTTCCGAGGGGGGTAATCCGGTGACAAAATCCAGAGCGATGTGGGACCATGGACGAGCAGGTGTGGGTAAGTGTTGCAAAAATCCAGCAGGTTGTTGGTTACTGTTCTTGTTTCTAGCACAGGTGGGACATGCTGCAACAAACTCTTTTATATCTTGGTGCATAGTGGGCCACCAAAAATATCGTTTGGAAAATGACAGCATACGTGACATACCAGGATGACAGGTGAACCGATGATTATGTGTCCAATCCAAAACTTTGCTGATGATGTTCTTGGGAATGAACCGGGTTCCAGGGGGTCCAGTACCAGGGTCGGGTTCAGACTGTTGGGCCAGGCGGATCGAGTTCTCAATGTCCCAGGAAAGAGTCCCCACGAAACAGGAAGTAGGCAGGATGTTGATGTCCTAATCTGTTTTTTCTGTAGAAGAGAACTGTCTGGAAAGTGCATCAGGTTTAATATTTCTAGACCCAGGGATGTAAGTAATGGAGAAGTTGAAACGGGCAAAAAACAGAGACCACCTGGCTTGTCTTGGGTTTAACCTTTTAGCATTCTGGAGATAAGCTAAATTTTTATGATCAGTAAGTATGAGGAATGGGACCTCAGCACCCTCTAACCAATGTCTCCATTCTTTAAGGCGAGTTTAATGGCCAACAGTTCACAGTTGCCAACATCGTAGTTTATCTCAGCGGGAGAT